TGTTCCTGGGGTGAGGATCTGAGAGGGGACGTGTTTTGGGGGGACAGCAGAGAGAGCTGTTGTGCTCACACCTTGGAGGGCTTGATGGTGGCTCCCTGCAAAGCATCTGGGGGTGTTAGGGCAGTGCAGAGATGTGCTGGCTGCTGGCCAGGGCTGCAGGCAGGGGAGAGGAAGACAGTGGGTGATGGCTGCCTGCATGTCCCCTCAGTGCAGGAGGCCTGTTGAGCAGCTCCCTCCAGCCAGCTGGCTGCCCTTGGCCCTGCTTTGCCCCTTAAGCTCCCTTCCCACCGCTCCTTTCCCCTTCCCACCGCTCCTTTCCCCTTCCCACCGATCAGCCCGGCTCTCCTTTCCCTCCCTGCTTAGCTGTTTCTCTTTGCTGCCAGCGGCTCCTGGCCGGGTCCTGGCCGGGCAGAGCGGGAGGTGCAGCCCCTGCTCCTGGGGAGCCTCTCCCGCTCCCTGGGGTGGCTTGCTCTTGTGGAGCACCGTTCCTTGCGCCCCAGCAAGAGCTTTCCCCGCTGAGGGGTTTCACTGTGGGGCCAAGCTGGTGGGGCTGCAGGGATGAGGAGGCAGAAGGGCTGGACACGAGGGCTGCTGCCCCTCCCTGGGATGGAGCCATCAGTGGCTGGAAGGTCACCGTGGCTTTAACGCCTGGCAACAACCGGGCAATAAAAGAGTAATTTGAGGACTGCGGGACAGGGCTGGTTTGATTTACTCCTTCCCTTGTCGGAGGCAGCTGGTGGTGTCGCTCAGCGGCGTGCAGCAGCCCCACACCGGGATGCTGGGCATTTATCCGGCCAGCGCCGCTGGTGGCTCTGGGGCTGGAGGTTTTGCTGCTTTGGGCTGTCAAACGTGTGCAGGAAGGGCTGGCTCTGTGCTACCACTTCAGGGGGATGAAGTAGAAGAGGAGGGAGCGGGCAGCGTCCTTTGAGCCGTGTGTGTGACACACCGTAACCTAGGGGGACAGGCGTGCCTCCGCTCCATCGGGGCAGGCTGTGCCATGGGGGGCAATAGCAGATCCCCCAGACCCAGCCCTTGCTGCTGTGGCCGAGCCTGCGGTACCTGGCTGTGAGCTATCGCAGCAGCCGATAGCAGCCGCTTATCAGCAAGCAGCATGGTGTGAGGCATTGCCGGGAGCCGGCGCCGGTGCCGCAGAGCAGGTTTGTTGGGAACAGGAACACCTGGGCAGGGTCGCTTTAATTGTAGGTCAGTGGATGTTATTTAACCTACTTTGAAACATCAAATGAAATCTCCAGCAGAGCGGTAAAGCGCAGCGCGCTTTCACACGGGATACTCGGCAGGGAGGGAATTGCGCTACTCTCTGGCATGGCAGTGCTCTCGGGGCAGATCCTGCCTGGCTGCTGGAGCGGGATGGAAGGAGCATGCAGGACCCCTGTGGGGTTTGCTTCCCATGCAAGAACCGTGGGATTGGTTTCCTGGGGATCGCTACGCTTCTCTTCCCCACCTGGCAAAAGGTGGGCAAAGTGGCTGTGAGGTGGCAGCCTGGCCATGCTTGATGCTGGCTGTGGAAGCAGGGCCCCCTCCGCAGCGCTCGCCGTGCCTGGTGTGCTTGCTGCAGACCTGCTTGGAGCAGAGATTTCGCTGTCGGCATCGGACCTAAAGCTCATGCTTTGGGAAGCGAGATCAAAGTTGTGCGGGGGGTGTGTGTGTGCGCTCTGGCAAACCTCCCATGGGGCTGCGTCCCAGGTAGAGGGCGGCCGGGGCTCGGCACAGCTCCCTTGAAGGGCTCCAGCTGGGTTATTCCT